GGGGAAAAATGGCTTTAAAATTGTGTGCCTGGTGTGGTCCGCACCCCCGCCAGGACCCAGAAGGCAAGCCTCAAGGGAGAGCAGCTGTGAGTGCTGTCCTGGTGTGGGCCTGAGGAGCCAGAACATGCTTGGTCCTTTACATCTGGCCCAGCACCACGCTATGGTGCTCTCCACAGTGGGGCAGATGTCTCTGGAGGTAACAGAGGTTTGAGTTAAAGCTGAGAGGGCAGATCCCGTGGAGACTACCTGGCCCAGACTCCCTGTTTGACAGGTGGAAGACCAAGTTCAAGTGAGGCTGAGTCACTAGCTCAGGGCAGCACTCTCTTAAGTGGTTGGAGGCCCAGATTGGGACTCTACCCCATCAGATGCCAAAGCCAAAGGTTCCTCGGAAGGGAGGAGGCTCAGAAGGTAAGCCCAGCCCCTGCGAAAGTCCCTGCTTTCCTAGAGCTCACACGCTGCTCTGAGAGAGGCACACGAGTGGAAGATCGGCATCTTCTAGAGCCAGAACTGCTCTCTCCATTCTGTCTGTCCCCAGCTTGGTCTGCTCCAACACCAAGTCCAGACAGAAACCTTCCAGTAGATTCCCTGGGACTGCTCTGTCCCTGGGGCCCCCAGAGTGCTATAAGTCTACAGAGGGTGCCTGCCTGCTCCACATCTCACTTTCCAGGTCTTGGAATATGTAAGAAAGATCAGCCTTGCCCTCAGGAGTAGGACGCTAGTCCCCATCTGCTACTAGGAACCTTCTAGAGGTGGTGGTATTTAAGACAGTTTATCAGCCATTAACAACACTGGGCTCCAGTCGGTTGGCAGGAAGCAGAGTCCTGAGAGGGAGGCATACCCAAAGTGCATTCTGATGTGTCTGAGTAGAGAGGTGGGGGGCGGGGGAGGGGTATCCAGACGAGGGGTGCCGGGAGAGGCTGAATAGTGGCAGCAGGTGTAGCTGGGCTCTCTCTTGAGTAGCCAGGAGGGTCCTCAGTGCATGGCCAGGAGAGGGCAGAGCACAGAAAACAACGGAGAGACTGGGGAAAATCATCTCCCAGCAGCTCCTGTACCAGCTTTTAGCACTGATAGCATTTCCAGCTCTGTCCTATTACGGGTGAGCCCAGCGCTTCCAAAAGTAAAAGGTCTAACAAGGAGAGAGAGCCTGCACCCCCACTGTACCCCCCAGACTCCAAAAGCACGGAGAAGGAGTAGACAAGAGAACGAGGAAACCCTGGGCATGGCCACCAGGAGCGACCCGCTTGGGAAGTCCCAGGGGGCTCGCCAGCTCTGCCCAGGCAGGTGGGACACAGAATCCCTGGGCAGGAGAGATGGGTTTCCTGCACAGAAATGCCCTGACTTATTCCACGATAGGCCCTCAGAGCTCCCTTAGCAATCACTGCCTTGCCATGTAGCCCTGTGCCTGGCTGGCCACTGTATAATCTATGCAAACAAGCCTCATGGCTCCAATAAGGCCGTCAGGCTTCTCTACCCCTGCATTCCCTACAGAGCTCAACGCAGCTGGGCACCCAGCTGGTCCCCATTAAAATCCTTCTGGACCTGAATCTTCCCACCTTTCCTTGCCCCCAGCTCTACCCCTGCACTCCGGCAGCTGGCCCCCGCCCCAGCACGCCTCCTCACTTTCCTAAGAGCTGGATTGGCAGATGCTAAAAAAGGAAGGGCAGGTGGGAGCCTCTGAGTCTGCAGATCCGACTGGCAAAAGATACTAGGAGCTTCTGTAGGTAAACAGGGAACCGCTATTAGCAAATTCTCTAATTAGGGTTCTCTTTATCATCCTCCTGTGGAAGATACTCCTTTGTGAATCTCACGGAGAACTGGAAATCTGTAAGAATATTGCCTAAGAAGGGTCTCTGGCAGGAGCCACTTAATTTCCTAGGTTTTGCTTTACCTCACCTATAAAAAGCAGGGATGGCAATGCATTCGTGTAGGCAGGCAACTCAACTAGGTGATAAAGCACCTTCCAAGTCTACACTTCTGTGCAACACTGGACCATCTCATTCATCCACGTGCAAAACACCGATGGGGATGAGGAGTAAAAAGCCTCAGGGTTCCCTGGCACTTACTCGTGGTGGGTCTTGGGGAGATACTTAATCTTTCTGAACCGATTTTCTTGCCTGTAAAATGGGCACAGTGATCATATCTTCACTGCATAGATATTATGAGATCTAAGTGAGATACACATGAACAGCGTCGATAAACTGTAATATCCAAATGTTACTGATTATTAACCAGCTCTAATGACTATGATAAATAAAAACCTCCCTTTAAATCAGCCAATGCTCCTGAGTGACATGAGAAACACCACAAAGATCACAGTTGATGGATTTGCTGGTAATTCTTCCCTGCCCAGAGGGATAAGCTGTCCTGAAACTGCCTCTGGGGGTGGGGACTTACCAGAGTCAGAGTAAATGCTCAAGCTCAGGGAAGGGACTGCAGGTCTACGAACACAGGGTGAGGCTATTTGCCACCCGCCCCAGCCTCTCCCAGGCTACTTCTGCGGTTTGAGAGCAGACTCCCAGCAACCTCCTCCCAGGTGACAGAGCGACAGTTAATTGAGGCCCTTAGGTTTAAGTGCACTTCATGGAAAGGGAGCCGACCCTCCAGGAATGAATATTCATTTGTACCACCCCTCAAAAAAAAAAAAATGCTGATAAACTCACGAAAAAAGTGTTGTTGCTAAACGCTAATTGCATTTCCTTGGGTAAGCTCCATAAAAAATTCATTGCAGTTTTTAGAAACAAGATGCCAAGTGCATTTTAATTGCTAGGGAGGACAGACTGGGGGAGAAGCTAAACCAGGAAAATGCTAACTGGACATAAACTCAGAAAGAAATCTCCCCAAGATGGAAGGCCCAGAGCTGAGACAGGAGCTCAGGAGACATAGGTCTTGGGAAGCCAGAACCTCCTAAGAGAGCACTAACTTAACCGCGCTCAGGCCTGTGGCAGCAGCCCACCCAAACAGCCGCGGCTATGTGCTGCAGATCGTGCTGTGTGGATTTAAGAGATGTAAAGAATTAAGTAAGTGAATGCCAAAATTCTAGAGAGATGAGCAGGAATCTGTTCCAGAGCTTTAAGAAATATGTATAGGAGGAAAATTTTAATTCTATCCCTTAGCGTGTGTGTGTGTGTGTGTGAGAGAGACAGAGAGAGAGAGAGAGTATGAGAGGGAGGGAGTGTATATGTGTGTATGAGAGAGAGACAGACAGAGAGAAAGAGAGGCTGAGAATGAGAGGCAGACCGAGACCATACATCTCTTCACTTTAATAACAGCGCTCCTTGGACCAGTTCACCGAATTGTCATTTTTAAACCAACGCCCTATCCCAGCGCCAACCAGAGCACTCTTACAAGCCCCCCCACCCCACCCCAGCAGCGCCAGCCAGAGCCAGGAGGGAATAGGCAGTAGGTGAGAATGACTGCCGAGTCAGGAGGATCCTTGACTCCATGGACTTGGCCTTGCCTTGAGCCAGGGGCTCCTCTAGAGAGGCACCTGCCCCACCTGAGAGCACATGGAGAGAGTTGGTCTCAGGGCATCCCTGAGCATCCTCCCAAAAGATGTGCACAAAAAGATGGTGGGGCTGGGGGCGGGGGGGAGAGGGCAGAGGGGCAGGCACCGAGCTGCTGCCAGCCGCCTCTTCCTCTCTCACTCCCTCCCCATACCCCCCAGCTCCCCCATCTTCCCAGCCCAGCCCCACCCACTCTCCTGTTACTGAGGCTCTCTGGTGAGAAAGAGGGGCTCAAAATCAGGGCCCTGGGAGGGGAGAGGCCCTCCCTGGAGGCTGGCCCGTGGGTGGTGACTGTCTTGTGTGGTAGGAGGTCCATGCCTTCTGCATCTGAGGCTGCCGCTTCTCCTCCATCTAGTGGACTTGCCAGAGACCCAGGAAGCATGAGGCTGTAGGTGGGACCAGGGAGGGAGTCTTGGGCTGACAGAGGAAGGAGCCAGACCCACAGCGTGGCCCAACCACCTACCAGCCCAGTAACGTTCATTTTAGTAAATCACTTCACCATTTGGAACCTTGATTTCTACTTCTATCAAATGCAGCTAAAAATATCTGCTTCTTGGGGCGCCTGGGTGGCTCAGTTGTTAAGCGTCTGCCTTCGGCTCAGGTCATGATCCCAAGGTCCTGGGATTGAGCCCCGCATCGGGCTCCCTGCTTGGCGGGAAGCCAGCCTGCTTTTCCCTCTCCCACTCCCCCTGCTCGTGTACCCTCTCTCGCTGTCTCTCTCTCTCTGTCAAATAAATAAATAAAATCTTTAAAAAAAATTAAAAAAAATATCTGCTTCTCGAGGTTTTCTGTAAGGCTTGAATGAGAAGGTGGGTGCATATGTCCCCTGTAAACTCTAAAATTTATTACCTACCACCTGTGCCTGTGCCCAACCCTGCAGAAAGATGCTTTTCTTCATCACGCCCTGCATTTGTAAAGTTCTTTATACACATAACCTGTTTCCGTACACATCTTACTCGGCCCTCCCAATGAACGGATGAAGTTGAGGGCCTTGACCAGTGTTGCACAAGAATTAATCCCTTGCTGAACGCAAACTGCTAAATGCCGAGCTCTCTCCATAGTTCAGGGAATGCAGGCATTCTTAACTGCCTTAGAAATCAGGAGCAAACACACATATGAATAACACGCGGACCACTCTCTGCAAGCCCAGCTAGCACTGGGCAGATCGCTCCTCATAGTCCTACCCTCATTCACTCATCACAGGACCACTCCCCACAGGTAGCCGTGATGCTATTACCAGGAAACTGAAGCTTGCCAAGGTTAGGAATTTGCCAAAGCTCACAGAGTAAATGGCGGGAGATCTGGGCTACACATCCAGGTCTACTCCTACCTAGTTAACACTTAAATCCAGAGAAATCCAATGGATTCAGTGTTACAAGCATCACTTCCTCCTCCCCATTCTCCAGCCCCAAGCAGGGCCCAGGCCTAAGAGGTGAGGGTCACAGTTTCCAAGGGTTGGGTCCTTTACAAACCCGACCGCCCCACCCCTGCCCCCACACTCACCCTTGCAGTGTCATGGATCCAGTCCAGGAACTCAGCAACCTTGGCATAGATGCCCGGGTGATTGGGCTCTGCACAGCCACGGCCCCAGCTGACCACCCCACCAAGTGCCAGGTGCCCACGTCCAGGCACACCAGGGGGCCCCCGCTATCACCCTGAGGGCACAGAGACACCGAGAAAGACGCCATTAGCCCTTTCTGGTGGAGGGAGCAGTCTGCGCTCCCGGCCCCTGCTGCTTCCAGCAGGGGATCTCCACTTGCCTCACTCCTCCATAAATCCTTAGCACGCTACTCGACTTGCCTAGGCACCCCTCCTCCTAGAGTGGCTGCTCAGAGCAGGGGCCAAGCCACCACAGGTCCCCCCGTTCCCACCCTCCACTACAGTCCCCCTCCATGCTGTACCTGGCACGCATCAGCCCTCCCGTCCATGTAGCCAGCACACAGCATGCGGGGGGTGAGTGCCCCACTATACATGCAAGAGCTGTTGCAGAGCTGGGTGCTGAGCAGGGGCACCACCGTGTCCTGGAGCGTATCTGAGTTGTGGGCTGCAGGAGGTACACGTGGAGATGGAGGGACACAGAGCCAGGCCGTGGGGCACAAAGCAAGGCCTGGAAGACACAGCAGCAAGAGGGAAGGTGGTTAGAGGCCCTGGAGACATGAGACCCAAAGAGGGGAGCCCAAGGTGGGAGCTGCGGACCCTGGGAAGGAGGCACGGGTCCATCAGATGTAAGGGTGAAGAGGAGTAGAACTCACATACGCCCCGCCCCCCCAATGCTGAGGCCACAGCACTCCTGGGATGGAGTGGCTTCAGGGGAAACTCATGGAATGTTCTCCCAGAAAGACCCAGGCCAGGGAGACCAGGGCTCCTAGGTCTGGCCAACAGTGATACCAGAGTAAAAGGGGGCTGGCATCGCCATTTAGCCGGGGGAGGGGGAGGTGGGAGAGAGAGGGGCCTCATCTTGGGGACAATGTCCCGCCATCCCCCCACCCCTATTTTCCCCAGGGCCCTGGGAGCTGACTCACTGTGGCTGGGGTCGGTGTGGCCCCAGCCAGACACCCAGCACCGCGAGCCTCTTGGAAAATCTTGCTTCTCGACTGGCAGGCACACAGCACCCACGCTATCTGTGGAGAAGCAGGTGGTCCTGGGCCCCACTCGGGCTCAGCTTCCCTTCCCCACAACCTCACCCTCAGCCTGGGGGAAGAACCAGGACTTGACGGTCCTCCTCACTCCTCTCAAACAGTCCTGGCTCCCCACCTCCGCCAGCCAGGCCTCCTGTAAGGCTGTGCAGGTCATGCACTACACCACATTGGCAGGGAGGTCACCACTGACACAGAGGACCATGTATAAACTGCTATGTGCATGGTGCCTTCTAGGTTGGGCAATGGACACGCTGCACACCCCCTGACCTGGGGACTGAGGGAGAATGGGAATTTCTTCTGGGCCTTTGTGCCCAATTTCTCATAATGAGGACTCATTTTGGATTTTCCTTAGGGTGTTCGATCCCTCTTGGGGCATTGTTTCCAAAAGTGTGTGGCAAGTCCTACAGGGTTGGGCCCCAAATTTGTTCTACAGTAGCACAGAGACATGCCATTAAATAAGCACTGATGTACATGGGGAAAGAGAATTCCCTTCTTAGGGCTCTTTCTGTTCCTCCAAGTGCATCCAGGACAAAGATTCCATCCAGTGCCTGCCAACTTCCACCTAAACACAAACAGCAGGCCAGCCTGGGAGCAGCAGATCTGCAGAGGGCAGCTAGCTGGAACTTGAACGTTATCTTGTTTTCACTCGGTATTTTTACGGTTGTTACCTATTTGCTACAAGTAATATGGGTTCTCCAGTTAGGTCGTAACTCAAAATTCCCCTTTCAAATGTACTTAAGCCACTCTAGAAATACTAACTGCTGAGCCACAGTTTAGAGGGTACACATACGTGGTAAAATTTGTGAAGGGCATGGAGCAACAACTGTGATTTGGGAAACCCAAGGCTACAGGTGACGGGAGGGAGGAGCGCAGAGCGTGTGTGAGCGTGCGTGCGTGCGTACTTGCGTGAAGACTGCATGAGCGAGTGCGTGCACGTGTGAGCGCGTGCATGTGTTTGTCGGTGAGGATGCAGACACACGTGCATGTTGGGGTGGGGGGGTGCTTTCAAGAGCAGCTGCTGTGGAGAAGCTGGACCCCCGGAGTCAGGGTACCAGGCTCTGGAACGGTTTGCTGTCCTCACTAAACGTCACTGTCCTTCCCTCTTTATACAGCCTGCCTCATCTACCTGTCAGGGCTCTTACAAGGACTGAAGGAAAGACATTTGGGAAAATAAAGCTTATTAACTGTAACATGTCACACGGTGGCTGGGACCTGGGGCCAGCCTGGGGTGAGGGGCCGAGCAGCCCGTTGGTAGAGGGAGCAACAAGGAAGCTCTGCCGGGGACGTTGAGGCAAGTCCCACTTGCAGCCCAGCTATGCCAAGGGCCAGAAACTTTGTCACCAAAAGAGCCTCCACAAAAGAGCCTTGCACCTAAGCTGGTGCAAGCTTAGGTCCAGGCGATGCCAAAGTTCACTGTGGTCACCAAATGAACTGAATGTGTTAAGGTTTGCGGCCCTGGGAGGGAACCTCAGAAATGAGCTCTCCCCTCAACCCCCACCCGCCCCCCCAGGGCCTGCCTCGCTCACCACAGCGCGCAGCTTGCTCGCCCCTGGCCAGCGCCTCACCTGAGAAGTTGAGCGGCGTCCGGAGCCGGAGGAGGGCGATGTCGTAGTCATGATTCTGGGTGCTGTAGAGAGGGTGAGGGATGATCCTCTCCACCACAGCCCCCTGGTGGGGCCTGACGGCACTGTGCCTGACCAGCCCCACATGGACCCGCCAGCTGGACAGGCCAGATAGCCTAAAACTGCACACAGGAGCCATGCTGAGCCCAGGGAAGGGCGGGGCAGAAGAGGCTGACCTAAGTGAGGTGGCAGATGGGGGAAGCTGGCCAGAGAAGCCATTAATGGATGCCCCCATCGCCAGGCTGGGAGCTCCCAGAACCCGGGACCGTGCCTCCTAGTATCCCTGCAGCAGCTGCCAAGATACTAGGCATGCAGTAGGTGCTTAATAAATGCTCTAGACCAGCCAGAGAAGGAAGACACTGTGGGTGATCTGCAACTCCCTTCCCCTCTGTCCTGAATAACCCTCCTCCATGTTTTATAACAAACATCAGAGGGGCTTGTGTGATATCCTAACTGCAAGTCAGAAAAACTTCTATGAGTCCTGTCTCTCCACCTACCACCTGTGATCGTGGGGGAAGTCCCCTCACCTCTCCCAGCCTCGGTCTCCGAGCAGTATGCTATCTGCCCTGCCCGCCACCAAAAGGAGAGGTCCAAAGAGCTCATTCACTCGTCGTTCATTCCTACACTGCTCCAAGCAGTATTATGAAGCACCTATTATCTGCCAGGACTGTTCTAGGCCAGGGGGACATGGCAGTGGGAAAATCAACAAAGAGACTCAGTGGTAAACAAGACTGAGAGTCTCTGTTCCCATGGAGCTTCCAGTCTAAAGGGGAAGAAAGACGTTAAACAAATAATTACACGGAAGGTGATCTAATTACAGTTGTGATAGACATTAAGAAGCACAGAGTGCTATGAATGGGAAAGCCTTCGAAAACCTTCAAAGCTGAGAAAATACAAAGAACCAATCTTTGTGCTATTGCTGCTATTCGTACAGAGCTGTTCTTGGCACGGAACAGTCCGTGCCTCTCAGAATGGACGCGGGGAGGCAGACAGTCCAACGTGGACATGTTATACGGGACATACCAAGGGCCAAACAGAAAAGGCCGCTGAGGCGCTCTCCTTGCCAGCAGCCCCCGAGACTTGCCTGTGCACACAGTGAGCAGCCGTCACACACCCAGCGCGGGGCTAGCACAGAGCCCCCACACGTGTGCCGGGAGCCCAGGGCCACACTGGCCTGCCAGGGCCAGCGCCCAGGAGCCACAGCCTGCCTGCCGACGATCCGGGAGGCCAGGGGCCCGGCCCCACACTCTGCAAACAGAGAAGCACGGGGGAGATGGCGAGCCAGAAGACAGGTGGGTGCCAGCATAGTCCTAACCTCGGCGAGTGTGGCCCAGTGTGGACAGCTCTCATTTATTATTCCTGGCCCTAAGCTTGGGGGATAGGAGAGTCGAAGTGCCAATTACACATCGGGGTGTGTCTGCCCCATCAGGCTGCAAGGTCACTGAGAGCCGCGACCACGCCTACAGTGTCCATGGAGCCCCAACACCCCTCGAGAAGCCTGTCCCACAGGAGGGATCGAAATGTTGGTGTGTGGTTGGATGCATGGAAGAGGAAAGAGGAAGAGATGCATAGATGATTGGGGGTGGGGGAGCCAGATGATAGAATTTCCACAGATTGTCTCCCATGTGGCCCCCAGTTTGTCCCCTTCCTTGGTCTCCTGAAGGTGCTAACCAGTTAGTAGCCAACAGAATTCCCTTTGGGGCTCTCTAGATGAAAGGGGGCGGGATCTTCAGAATTCATGTCAGGTAGTGCCAGGAAGTGAAGCAAGGAGATGATCCGCCCAGATCAGGGGCTGGTAGGGGACAGGACAGAGGCTTGGGCAGGGCTCTGTTGGGGCAGAAGGGCACCCGCAGGCAGAGGGGCAGGTGGGCGAGGAACCCCACCCCAGACCCAGCTGAGCCTCTCTGTGGGGCTCACCACACTCAGGACAGGGGGGAGACTCCTTCCTCCCACTGCCACCTTCCCGGATATGCCTGGATATGACTCACCAGAGCACCTGAGGGAAACGATCTGGCCGGAAGCACAGCTGTTCCTACAAAACAGAGGTGGCAGCAAGAAGCAGGGGAGGGGCCCACCCGAGGCCATGGAGGCCAGGGACAGTTGTCTGGTGGAGACAGAAGAGGCCTCCGGTGCAGCCCCCCATCTGCATCCTGCCTCCATCCAAGCCCCTAGGCCCCTCCTCATTAACAGGTCTCTAGGACAGCAATGCTACTCTGTCCCATCACCCCAGAGCACCAGCAGGAGGTCATGGCCCTTGAGGGTTGTCTTGCACAGGGCCCAAATCCAGTATTTGTAGATGGGAAGTCCAGCTGGGCCCACTAAGGGCCCCTGAATGAACCTGTGATCAGGAGATGGATAAGGGAGTGAATGAAGAATAGCACACTTCACCCCATGCCCCTCCAGGGCTTACTCTGTTCTCTCTCTCTCCAGCCCCTTCCTTGCTCTCCTCTCCCCCTCCTCCTTCCTAGCAAAACCTCAATTCCTGCTGGACCAAAGTCCTCTTCTCTCTCCTACTCATCCCTGGCCCCAGCGGCCCAATGCCTTGATCCCTCTCGTGTCCCAAACCCACAGGGCTCGGGCTCTCCTGGCAGAGTCAGTCCCCACTCACGTGAACTAAGTTTGTGATTTCTGACTGGGAACTGTTCCTCTGTGTCCTATCTCACATGGCCAATGTCCTCACCACCACGCTCCCATGACCCGAAGAGTTTTGCTAAACTGTTCACCAGAAGTAAGGGATCCCACTCAACCTCCTCAGAAGCCCTACCTGGGCAGCCACACCTCCTCCAGGAGGCCTTCCAGTCTGGGAGGGAGCTGAGCAAACCCCCGGGAGCTGTTGAGCTTGATGTCAGACAGGTTCACTCCCTTGTGGTGAGTGAGTCTTGGTGGAAGAGGGGAACAGAACAGGAGGAAACCGGTTTACTGCAGCACAGGAAATGGTACATAATCATGACCAAGATGTGCATGAGATACCATCCCCCCAGCGGTACAGTCACGGAGCAAAACTTTGACAATGACCTTTTCTGGGATTCATATTTGTTAAAAAGCAGGGATACTCAAAGGAGAGAAACGAGCTGGGGCCCCACCATGCCCGGAGGCCAGGACACGGCCAAAATGACCTCTTGCCAGTTCCTGAGCACTTTGACGGGGACAGGCAGATAGAGGTCTCCGACTCCCCTTTCTCCACCACCACCGGCTCTCCACCTTCCCTGGGCCCCAAGTCTGGCCCCAGTTACCTGAGATGCCCAAGGCTCTGGCAGATCCGCACCCCCAGGGCAGAGCTCCAGCCCTCGTGGCAGATCAGGAGCCAGTCTGGCTGTGCCCTCACCTGTACTTCCAGCAAGAAGTCCTCAGTGTTTATTCTGAAAGATACTGAAGGCACGGCATGGAAGTCATATCCTACCTGCTGAAGGGTGGAGGGGCAGGTTGGGCAGGGGGAGCTGGACCTGGCCATGCGGGGACTTGAAGAGGCCTCAAGACAGCATCTGGGTCACCCAGTGTCATGCTCCCTGTCCCCCAGGGCATCAGGCCAGTTCTGAGAACAAAATAGCTCCTATTCATAGTGCTGTGTTCCAGTTTGGTGTTTAACCAAGGGCTTTTAAACGTGCTCTGTCAGTCACTGTCATGGCAACCCTGTGGGGTGAGCGTGACCATCCTCCCATGCTGCAGAGGGAAAACTAAGGCATGGAGGCTAAGCGACCTGCCCCAGATCACAGAGGCTGCACATGATGGATCCAGGACTTAAGTCCAGGTCTTCCAGTGTCGTATCTTGTGGTAATACTAGTGATGGTTACCACTGAGCATCTGCTTTCTCCAGGCTCTGTGCTAGGCTCTTTTATACATTAGCTCGTATTATTCTTACAACTTTACGTAGTAAATAGTTGTATCTCCATTTTGTAGAGAAGGAAATGGAAGTTCCGAGAAGCAGTGGTGCCCAAGGTCACACAGCTGGCAAAAGCAGGCTCCATGCTGTTTAACTTCTATAACTGATTCCAGCCCCTGCCTGGGCACCTAATCTCCTGATCCTCGACTCATGTTCGGTGGGGAGAGGACAATGAGAAGGGGGTGGGGTGGGGGTGGGCAATGTGGGGTGGGTGGGGACCCCTGCTGGCTCCACCCCAGCTCCCCACACGCACCAGTTCCCCCTTCCCCATCCTGCTGGCTCACTCTGCCTCAAATGGCAAGTTGCCATCCCTCCTCCAGCCTGGGCTCCTGGCCGTGCCCCAGCTAGGGATCAAGACAGTCCCCAGGGAGTGCTGAAAGCTCCAAATCTGAGATGGGCTTTTCAAGGCTGGACCATGTCGCTCCCTTCCCGCCAGAGGAGGAGACCCAGATGCTGGCAGTGACGTCGGGGCCCTTCGTTCTCGTCCTCTTGCCCCTGGCCAGAAGTGGGGGCCCCAGAGCCGTGAAGGGGCTCAGGGCCGGGGGGGCAGTCGTAGGCTTGCGGGGGGTGGCCCACCTGCTCTGGGAAGCACGGGGAGTAGGGCTTCCTCACCGCTGGCCTCGGAGCAGCCCAAAGGGATGTCCTCATCCTGCAAGGGTCCGGCAGCAGGCTGACAGGCCGCTGGCTACAGATACAGCACTTCAGGGGACAAGGACAGGGGCAGGGTCACAGACAAGGAGGGAGGGATTCCCACCTGAGAGGGCCAAGGGGCAGAACAAGACCCCTGCAACAGAGGGAGACAAAAGCAGCTGCCTGGGGACTCCCCCTCGGCCACCCAGCCTCAGGCGGGCCCCCACCTAACTCAGCACCCACTCTCTCTCCCTGTCCCTGTCTCTCTCCCTCTGACTGGGAAAGACTTCTAGAGAAAGTTTGACTTGGGCCTCCTGGGTCATCCACTCAAGTACCTTCCACTTCCCACAGTAGGACTAAAGCACTCTGAACACAGAGCCTAAGTCCCTTCCTTCTCCCTGCTGTCAGTTCAGAGTAGATGAGAAAGACAGGTCCCGGCTGCCTTTTACATCCGCTTGTCTCTTCCCACAGGGACCCCCCAGACCCTGTTCTTTGGCCCTCCCCAGAGCGCTGAAGGGTCCCAGCACTGACCGAGAAGCCAGGAGCCGACGCTCACACCAGCCAGCAGCGCCAGGGCTCCCAGCCCTGCACAGCAGTGCCACCCTGAGCACCGGCGCCCCGCCCGAGAGCCTGCGGGACAGGGCAGAGAAGTCTGTGCCCTGCTCCTGCCTGCCAGCCTCACTCTGCCCGAGGCCCCACCATGGGGCTAGGCAGCCACGGGGCAGTGGCAGGAGTCTGCCCCACTGCACCTGCCAACCCCCCCCGCCCCATCCCCACTGAGGCCCCCAGAGCCCACTCAACCCCCAAACTGGAAACAGAGCAAAAGCAGGTCTGGGATAAATAGTGAGGCAGCCTCTCGCCATCAGCCATTAGGGGCTCTCTCAAGAGGGATCTGGGGAATGTAGGAAGATTACCCAGTCGCTCTCCCCACCCTGTCATTCCCCTATAGCCCAGTCCGGCCTACTGGGTTGCTGCTGGGCCTCGGGCCTCCGCAGTGGGTCTCTCAGCTTTGCTTTGAAGATCCCAGGTCCTGGGCCCTCCTCTGCATCCTGAGCCTCCATGTGGGGTTGGCCATCCGGCATCAGGCTCTGGGGAAATAACTGTCGGTCACTCAGGATCCCCACACCAAAGGGAGATCAGCCCACTACAAGACCCCACTCTCTAAACTCAGCTGTGCATTCACTGCCTTTTTTTTTTTCATCTTGGAGACTCTGTGTGTTCCTACTGATGCCCCTCCAGGCCCTCTCTGCTCTCCTGGAACCCCTAACCCCACCCACCTTATTCTCACACAGCCACTAAGTACCAGAGTGGGTATTCAAACCCAGACGGGGCCAATTCAGAAGGCCACACTCCTCTCCACTCCCTTCCCTGGCCTCCTACAACCATCAAGGGCATCTGCTGAATCTCTCAACATTCCTCCTCAGGCCTCTAGGTCCCAGCCTTCTTCATTCTCCCCTGCCCAATGCACCATCCATTCATTTATCCAGTAAAGAAGATTTAGCCCAAGTGGCTGGGCCACAGTGGGGGACACTATAGGGAGTTGAAAATAAATCAACATGGAACACTCCCTAACTGCCCCAGAGAATTTGCAGTCGGGTCCTGATATGTTAAAAAAAAAAAAAAAAAAAAGAACATGTTAAGTGACAGAAGAAAGGAGAGGTTACTTCTCACTGGGAGATCAAAACAGGCTTCCTAGGAAAGGCAGCCTGAGACAGTCCCTCATAGATGAATAGGGCTTGAACGGACATATATGGGCATCGGGTATTCCAGGCAGTTGAAGAGGCAAAGGAATGGGGGTGGGAAAGCATAGAGCAGAGGAAGCTGTATGTTTGCCTGATGCTCATGAGCCATGAAGAAGAGTAATGGAAAATAAGATCTTGGAAGAAATACCAGACCAGCAGTTCAAAGCTAGGTCTGCAGCCTACTATGTGAACTTAACTCAACACCTCTCCAAACTTCAATTTTCTCATTTGGAAAATAAGAGTGATAACCACTACTACCCAACAAGTCATCTCCCTCCTCTAACATCTTATCTCCATTCAACGTCCAAGCCAGAGCAATCCTCCTACAATTCAAACATGAGCAAGCTCACCCCATTTTTAAAGTACCCAATGAACCTTCCTACTCTTTAAGAAAAATCCAAAGTCCTATGGCACGGCCCACAAAATCCTCTGTGCCCTCACCCTTCCTCACCTCACCATCCACACCTGCCAGCATGATTCCCTCCACAGTGGAAGTCGGTCATAGTAACACACATGCCAGTCCTCTGGGCCTTCACATGCTCTCATACCACAGAGACTTTGCATCTGCTGTCCTTTCCCCCATGTAGCTGACTCCTAAGACCCAGCTTAGATGTCACTTCTCCAAGAAGCTTTCTTCAATCTATAAGGCACCTGTTGTGTCCCTATATTGTGCTCATTTACTTCTCTTTCTCTCTGCCCTTCCTCTCTGGTCTAGTCTCCCAGAGCCTAGCTCAGGGCCTGCCACAAACTGGGAACTCAGTTAATGTACATTAAGGAGGAAGGCGGGGGGGAGACCACAAAAGATTATATGATCAAAAGGGTTTTATAAATTATAAAGCTCAATGCAAATGCTAAGTATAATAATAATATTAATAAGAAATATGTAAAAGCAATGGATCCTTTCTTCAAGGATCCAGTAAAACAGACAAGACCCCTTAAAACTTAAAATGACTCCAGGGGTGCCTGGGTGGCTCAGTCAGTTAAGCATACGACTCTTGATTTCATCTCAGGTCATGATCTCAGGGTCCTGGGATCGAGCCCTGCGTTGGGCTCCACACTGAGCATGGAGCCTACTTAAGATTCTTTCTCTCATGCCTGGGTGGCTCAGTTGGTTAAGCATCTGCCTTCAACTCGGGTCATAATCTCAGGGTCCTGGGATGGAGTCCCGCATTGGGCTTCCCTGCTCAGCGGGGAGTCTGCTTCTCCCTCTCCCTCTGACACTCCCCCTGCTTGTGCTCTCTCTCTCTGTCAAATAAATAAATAAAATCTTAAAAAAAAAAAAAGATTCTCTCTCCCCCTCTCCCTCAGCCCCTCCCTGCCACCTCCTCACCCGCAAGTGTGCATGCACTCTCTCTCTCTCTCTCAAAAAAAAGGTTAATATGACTCGTCTCCTCTGAAGACTACAACTTATCCTGTCAACACCTAGAGTTGTACCCAATGATCATAAAAACTTGAAACACTGACTCCAAGACAATGTTGGCTTAGATGGGATTTCCATGTGTTACATGGAATGTTCTTGTCACATTCCTCAGTCCTGCCTTTGTGTTCCATTGAACTTCATGCTCCTGACCCTCAGGCTAGGAGAAAAAAAGGCCTTTGAAGACTCTCTCAGATCAGTCACTTCTAAATCACCCTGGAAATCATTCTGATGGACCCGTGAACACCCTTGCCAGTTCAGCTCACAAGCAGGGCAGCAGCCCAAACTTCTGTATGAAGCAAGACACCACCCCTACTCCCCATCCCCTATACCAGTTACAGCCCAGGATCTATAGGGCTGGTCCTCCCACCAACAATAGGGAGAAACATGGGGTCTTGCCTTGCCCCTTACCATATACACTCTTTCTTGGGTCTAGAAATGAGGCTCAAGGGCACAAGCAATGAGACTGGAGAACCACAGGCTTGGAAGAGTCAGTCAAGCACCCATAAGAAAGCAGAGAAGTGGCAACGGCATTTGGGGTTTGGGTTTCTTCTCTGGGAACATGGTTTCTCTTGAACTGATGTCCTTCTGAGCAAAGAGGCAATGCTTGGTCTAGAGAGAATTCCAGGGCATACCCAGGCTTTTCTCCTGTCTCAGTATCAAGGGAGCTTGGCTTTCAGTTCAGCTTCTGGACTAACTGGCCTCACCCCAGGAGTTGCTCTACCTCCAAATCCATGTGTTTGAGCTCATGCAGTAGTCTGCAACAATGGTCTGTAATGGTGCAGGATCTCCCGGTCCTCCTTTTGAGTAGGAGTTCAGTGTAATAGTGATTTGCTAAACACTGCCTATGTGCAAAGCACTTGGATAGGCCTATGGGGGACAGGAGAGGAGAATAAAAGTCAGTTCCTGGGGGTAAAAATAGGAGGTTGGCCACACAGGGCCCCCTCTACGATCTAGCCTAGAAGCCCAAGGGTGGGGGCAGGGAGAGAGAGAGAAAGAGAGAGAGGCCAGGTGAGGGATGGCACAGATGTATGCACAGCCTTACCATTCGGGTCAGTGGCACCGAAGTAAACCCTCAGGGTCTCTAGGCAGGGTTCTGCTCCTGTTCTTGGATCAGCATTGATTAAATAGCTCAGCCAGCTTCCTTGGAGGGTGAGGTCTCCCTAGTTCACATATGCCCCTCCCTTTATCCCTTTATTCTCCCCCCACCCCCCACACACACAGACATGCGCCAGAGAGACAATAAATCTGCTCAGAAACCATGAATAGACCCCTTGTTGCAGGAAAGGGGGCCAAGGGCCGGGCTGGGCAGCTTCAGCCCCTCCCATCTGCTAACTAGAAGCTTAGAAACAGAGAAAAAGGTTACAGGGAGGAGGGGAGGCCAGCTACAGTTGCTTAGCAACCAGGTCCCTTGTGCCAAACAGTGTGCCCCATGCATCCTAGCACAATTCCCCCTTCCTGCTGACAGGGCTGTATTGGAAGGACTGATATTAGCATTTGTGGAAATGTTTCTGAGCTCTCTGGATTACATCTCATCTCTGTGTGGGTTGGCTTTCCCAGCAGTCTGGGGCTGTCACCATGTTGGATCTGGGATAATAATGAGGAATTTTTGTCATTTCTCTCCTCAGGGCTACACCTGTCACCCCAATGCTGGGGAAATGGGGTCTCTCCACCCAGCTTTCTTGGAAGCCAGTTACTACAGGAGCCCTCAGTGCTATCTTGCTTCAAAGTACAAGGTGGCCCAGCTGAGCCCAGGGTGGGTTGAACACACCTGGGAACCACATCTCTTCAGTGAGGCAGAACAGGTGCCAGGGAAGAAAAAGGCTTGTGTGGTTTCCCCTCCTCCAAATGCTTCTCACGGATCCCTTAGATGGAATGGTTAAGAATATGGGTTTTAGAAGTCAGGCCTTCATCTAACTCTAGTTCTGCCACTTCCCTTACTTAGCCTCACGTGAAAAATGACGATAATAGTACCCATCTCATAGAACTGGTGCTGGAAATGAATGAGATATTGAATATAAAGCTCCTAGCCCAGTATCCTAGCACAGAATGTACTCAGTAAATATTGGCTGCTATCATTATTATTACTGTTGAACCTCATCCACACAGGCTTTATTTTTGCCCTCTACTTCCCTCATGCACTCAGTCAACTCTGAGCTTATGGTAATCACACAGAGCTCCCCACACTTCTAATACAATGAAGACACAGAAGTCAGCTATGAATCCTAGAAACAGGAGGAGAGAACTGGTAGCTGGAGCTGAGAATCCCCTGGCTAGGCTCTGAGATGTCCTAAAACAAATACCCCCTCAGCCTACAAATACGCCTACTTACCGTGTGTCCGGAACTAGTTTGGGCATGGAGAATGAATAAGTCACCAGTTAGGAAACTGCAGGCTGAGACAAGACACAGGAACAGATAGCAATAACTGTTATTTGTGAAACGTGAAATAACAGGTGCATAAACACAGAGGTATAGGAAGATAAAGAAAGAGCTGATTCCTTTGCCCAGAGGACACAGAAAAACTTCACAGGAGAGGAGACATTTGAGCTGTGTTTTGAGAAATGAGAAGGCAATCACATAGAAGGGCATTCTAAATATACTACAGGTGGTGTCAGTGAAAATGCCAGAGTAAAGACCTCTGAAAAATCTCTTCTCCATAAAAGCAAAGAGAAAACTGACAAAATTTTGTCAGAATCAAATTTTTAAAAGTCTGGAAATTAACCAGAGGCTTACAGAAATATGGAAACTGTTTATTCAAGAAAAACGACACGGGGCGCCTGGGTGGCTCGGTCGTTGGGCGTCTGCCTTTGGCTCAGGTCACAATCCCGGCCTCCTGGGATCGAGCCCCGCAGCCCGATCCCTGATCAGCAGGAAGCCTGCTTCTCCCTCTCCCACTCCCCC